ACGGCTTGGGTTTCTGCTGCCACACTTAAGGGTCTGAAGCATTTCTGTCATTCAGAGGGAGCCTGAAAGTTTCGAGGGAGAAACAATCGCCATACTTATCAACGTTCTGGGTCTAGCAAGGGGTATAGTTCCTGCTTCCTGCTAAAGCCACCTTAATGTGAATTTCGGTGTATGTGCCAACAAATGAGTTGGCACTCTTCCACTTTTGCTTGGCCAGGGGGGCACTTGTGACTTTTGTAATGTATTTGTGTATTTATAGGTATTTACTGCATTGGTAGCCTAGCATTTTTATGTTAAGCTTTTACTATATGTATAGTATTCTGTAAGAGATGTGGTTACCCAAGAGATGTATTCAAATCTACATAATAATTAACTGATACAGTGCATCTTTACCAAAGAAAGTAATCATGAATCTGATTCTGTCTGTCTTACAAAGGCATATACCCACTCCTCACTGTCTGAAATGCTTGTCTGAAGGACACTGAAGACATACACACATATAGGTGGTTGGTTGTGAGTGATATAAAAAAAATGAAGTTAGTAAAAAAAATATATGTCTTCTACCAGAAATTTGGCACTTGTTGAAAATTGGACAATGTTATTATACATTATTATCGAAATGAAATGAAACATGTAAAATGAATGAGTTGTATTTTGTAAGGTACAGTCACTTCGTGGGTGATATATTTGTAACAGTGTTTTGTTATCTGTTTCCTGATGTGAGGGAAATATAAATGGTGATGTAGTGTTCTGAAGTGATTTGGATTTTGGAAGGATAAGTGAAATGGAATTTTTGATTGGGATGAATACATTAAATTGTTTGGTATTATATTTGATTTTGCTTTATGTATAGACTTCATAACAGGGTTTCAAATACATAAAAGGGAATTCATTCCATAAGCTAGAGTTAGAAATTCATTTTAAATATTTAATGATTTAATTAAGTTTTATTAGTGTGATGCTCTTTGCTCTGCCGATTAAAAATTGACAAGGGCCTCATCTGTTTTTCCCCCCCCTTTTTGGATAAGATCTTGGTTAGATTTGTTTGTTCTGTATCTTTATAAACAGTGATAAATACTAATTTTTCAAAATAAATGCTCTTTTTAAACATCTGAAATTGCCAAGAGAAAAATAGTAAACAATTGCGAAGCATTAAAATCAACAGAATTTACTCATTGCCTTGCCCTTTGATTCAAAAACTGATATTTTATACTGTGTCTCTAGAGAAAATTTGATTTGCTTTACTCCAGTTTTCTCTCTATACTTATTGTCTTTTCCAGAGTGCAGAAATGTTTCATGCCCTAGCTCTCAGGCCAGGTACAAATGATGCTTGCCATCGCACTGGACTTTGGGGCATGGGAGGGAGTGAAGCATATGGTGGTCAAGCAAACAGTGGAGAAGAGTGAATTACATGAATTACACCACGATCAACAACAGGTTCACTGTGAGGGGCTTGTAGGGAGTGGAGGTACCCCAAGTTTATACCTCAGGATCATACAGGTACTCCAAATGGCTATGACTTTGGCCATAGGCATTTCTATGAACCCTCATATTCATATATCCCTTATGTTAATTGACATAAGAATCCATGTCTTGTAGCTCTGGATAACTTGGTGGCTTGAGAAATTTTATTGACAAAATGAGGGAAAAGGAAGAGAGTATAGGTTGCAATATTTATCCAACAGGAAGCAGTTGACCCTTTGTAACCGAGAATATGATTCTCTAGACTTTTCTGACAACCCCCCCGCCCTCTGCCCAAGGTGTTGATCAACAGTAAACATTACCTTCAAATGTGCTTCTGAAGGAAAAATAAAATATGTTTTGGAGATAATAGATGTAGATAGTTGTTAATTATCCTCTTTCTTTTTAGAAAAACAAATATAATTAACCAAAATTTACCTTTACTTTTGTCAAGTTTTCAAGATTCTGAAACACAGACTATTAGTAGATAGGAAGGTATGCGAAAGCTGTATTATATCTTGTTGAAAGTTGGAATGGTATTACTAAAGATGAGGACAGAGCTTCCCATTACAGTAGTCATTAGCCACACATGGTTATTAACATTTAAGCTTAATTAAAGTAAATAAATAACAGTTTATTCCTTCAATGTCCACAGGTGTTTTGTGGATGCCATATTGGACAGCACGGAAATATGTCCATCATTGTAGAACATTTTATTATACAATACTGGGTTAGAAAGTATGTGGTTATGGTACCTAGCTTATGGAATGAATTCCCTTTTATGTTTATATGGTATCTATATAAGGATATATAGATATTTTTAGACATAGTAATAAACAAACCCCACCATTTCAGTTATGATGAGTGGTTTTTTTTTTTTTTTTGGCTTTTTCAGTTTTTAATTCCAGTTAGTTGACATACAGTGTTATATTAGTTTCAGGGGTAGATTATAGTGATTCAGCATTTCTATACATCACCTGGTGCTCATCACAGTACCCTCCTTAATCCCCATCACCTATTTCATCCCCCCACCCTTCTCCCCTCTGGTAACCATCAGTTTGTTCTCTATAGTCAGGAGTTAGTTTCTTGATTAGTCTCCCTCTCTCTTTTTTGCTTTGCACATTTTTTTTTGTTTCTTAAATGCCACGTATGAGTGAAATCATGTGGTATTTGTCTTTCTTGGACTGACTTTGGTTAGCATTATACTTTCTGGCTCCATCCATGTCATTGCAAATGGCAAGATTTCATTCTTTTTTTTTTGGCTGAATTATATTCCACTGTATATGTATACCACTTCTTCTTTATCCATTCATCATTCGGTGGACACTTGGGCTGCTTCCGTATCTTGGCTTTTGTAAATAATGCATGCATCCCTTTGAATTAGTTGTTTTGTATTCTTTGGTAAATACCCAGTACTGCAATTGCTGGTCATAGGATAGCTCTATTTTTAACTTTCTGAGGAACCTCTATACTCTTTTCCACAGTGGCTGCACCAGTTTGCATTCCTATCAACAGTGCACGAGGGTTCCTTTTTCTCCACATCCTCACCAACACTTGTTGTTTCTTGTGTTGTGGATTTTAGCCATTCTGACAGGTATGAGGTGTTTTGATTTGCATTTCCCTGATGATTAGTGACATCTCTTAATGTTTCTGTTGGCCATCTGTATGTCTTCTTTGGAGAAATGTCTGTTCATGTCTTCTGCCCATTTTTAAATTGAATTATTTGTCTTTTTGGGAGTGTTGATTTGTGTAAGTTCTTTATATATTTTCGATACTAACCCTTTATCTGATATGTCATTTGCAAATATCTTCTCCCATTTTGTAGGTTGATTTCTAGTTTTGTTGATTGTTTTCTCCACTGTGCAGAAGCTTTTTATTTTGAGGTAGTCCCAGTAGTTTATTTTTGCTTTTGTTTCCCTTGCCTCAGGAGACACATCTAGAAGAAAGTTTTTACCGCCAATGTCAAAGAGGTTACTGCCTGTGTTCTCTTCTAGGATTTTTATAGTTTCGGGTTTCACATTTAGGTCTTCAATCCATTTTGAATTTATTTTTTGTGTATGGTGTAAGAAAGTGATAAATATTTCTTGTTCATTTATATGCTAATGTGGGTGTTCCCAGTTGTCCGGCAGCTTTTCTCTTTGTGATGAAGATCTAGGCTCTTCCATCTTGTGATTCTGCTATGCTCCAAATCCTTGAAGTCCTGCTTCCAGCTGCCTAAAGGGTTAAGTTGCCCTGGCACCCCGGGTACCGCGCCCGCAGCCAGGTGCACCGCGTACCGTGTGTGCAGCCGGGTGCGCTGTGGGCCGGGTACCGCGCCCGCAGCCGGGTGCGCCGTGCGCCCAGAGCGCTCCTGCAGCCAGACCCCAGGCGCCGAGGGCCACGCTCTCGGCCTTCGGCCCCCTCGTGTGGTAGTCACGCAGGGATGCACAGAAATTTATACTACTGAGAAGCTCCCCAGATTGAAAATCTGGCAGGTCCGGGAAGCCCAGACCTGGAGAGCTGGGAACCCAGAAAGTGATAAAATCAATTTTCTCTCATAAATCAACTGGTGAGAACTAGTCCTATGGCCCACCTAGATGCTTTCCAATAGCAACTCTGTCTTATGGAATGAAAAGCCATTGAGAAACTGCTAGTTTCTCAGCAGTTGAGAAACCCTGCAAAACAAGTATGAATTTTATATGGAAAAGTAACTAATGAGGCACCTGGGTGGCTCAGTTGGGGAAGCATCTGCCTTCTGCTCAGCTCATGATCCTGGGGTCCTGGGATAGAGCCCCATGTTGGGCTCCCTGCTTAGTGGGAGTCTGCTTGTCCCTCTCCCTCTGCCCCTCCCCAACTTGTACATGAGCGCGCATGTGCTCTCTCTCTCCCTTTCAAATAAATAAAATCTTTTTAAAGAAAGTAACTAATGGCACTTAAACACCTCAACGAAAGATAGTTCAAGGAATTACCCTATGTCCGAATTCATTTTGACCATTTTCTTCTCTCTAGCTATCTCTATCTGTAATCTTTACTTCTACCTCTCTATCTAATCTATCTATCTACCTATCTATCTATCTATCTATCTATCTATCTATCTATCTATCTATCAACTCTACTGACAATCCTCTGCACAGTAGTGTGGGATTATAAAAATGACCTTGCAAACTGAAAATGCACAAAGCAATTTTAATAATCAATAGGAAAAATTATGTTTTATCAGTGACCTTTACTAATTTCTTGCTAAAACATTAAAAATTCCCTTTCAGTCATAAATGTATAGGGAAATGAAAAAAGCAGTAAAACTCTAGTATTTTATAATTTAAAACAGAAATTTGGAGAATTAAAGTGCTTTGTTCCTTTATAAAAACTTGTTAAGAGTAGTTTGAACCGTGCTTGCCTTCTTCTCATCATGTAACTTACGGAATGAATATCTTCTTGGCCATGGCAAATTGCCATACTTCTTTCTAAGTTTGGATCACCTTCTGACATTTCATCCTTTTGCTTTCGATGTCACGAAATATCCCTCAGCGTTCTTTTAATGTGAAATTTATGTTTTACAGATGTCACTTCCTCTAGGAAAACTCGATCCTTTTCATCACAACTAGTTTCCTCGTGTTTGTTGGTAAGTCCTCTTTCACTATGTTTTTATTGGTCATATGTCCAGAGTCTCTCCCGTGGTAGCAAGGTCAACGTTCCCATGGTCAGGCGTGCATGAAAGATTCCAATTTAACTTCCAGTGTTAGTGCTTTTCATTTCTTTGCTCTACTTTCCTCTTTGTTGGCCGTTTCCCTCTTGATTGTCCTTTCTTTTTTTTTTTTTTTGGTAGAATGTTAAGTGGGATTTTCATTGGGAGACAAGGGAGCAATAGAACGACATGCTTTTCTATCTGTATGTGCACGGAATAACAGATGTACAGTGATCAATCACCAACAGACTTTGACACAATTGCCATGGTTGGTCACAGGATAGGGTGCACATCCATTTTTTACATAGAGTTTTGCGGACTGAAGAGCTAGCAGCAAAGTTTATACTTCAAGTGATTACTAACATTTGATATATTGCAGTAACTGTAATTTGAACCCTGTTGTTGGAGACTGGTAGTATTTCACTAAACCATGATAGCTGAAATTTGTGTATATTGGAATCATGCAGGCAAGGATTGTTTCTGTGTGTGATTTCCTTTTATGGAATGCTCTCCCTGGTCCTCAGATTATTTCTCCTTCTCTGCTATTATGACTTCAGCTACATCCCATATAAAACGAACCCCATGAAGCCCTTTATTTATTCTGCTACAATGTGTCTATGACATGAGCTGGGATAGGTTTGAGGAAAAGAAGCATCATTATTGAGAGAAATCCACAAAATATTTGCCTTTGTAAAGTGGGTAATGGCTTGAATTGGAGAAGGCTAAAAAACACTGCACCCGCAGGGAGGGCCACACCCAAGTGAATCTATGCGGTCTGTACACATGGATGTAATTGCATTCCAATTTAAGAGTAAAATGTTCATTACTTGAGATAGACAATATAACTTGAAACTAGTTAATTATGGGATTTGAAAAAGAGCAATGCTGATATTTACAAATAAATTAGATGTGATTCTGGTGTGTATACAGAGTAAATTAAAATAATTTTAAACTATACTTTAATGGATAAGATTTCTCTTGGGTTATTGATAGTAGAATCTGGATTCATGGTTTTTAAACTTTAAAATGCATTAAAATCACTGGCAGTTTTTGTTAAAAGACAGATTCCAGGGTGGGGTCTGAGATTTTGTAGTTTTAACTACCTCTCAGGAAATGCTAATGGAGCTGACCAACCGTTGAGTATGAAGAGTCTAAAACAACAGATTATGCTGTATAAATTTAGGAAGCCAATGACTTTATCAAATAAAACTATACCATATTTAAAATTACTTTATTTGACTATTTTCTGCTTCCATGACAGTGAAATGCGCACCCTTAAGAACAACTTTGGACCTTCCTTATCTTTCAAACTTCTGCCTTGTATTTGCCTTTCCTTTCAGTGCCTTCTGAAAGATTCCTTTCTTTTACTCCTTCATCATCATGTTCCATTCATTCACCAGCTCACCAAATCTGGCTTTAGTCTGGAGGTGAACTTTTGACAGAGACCTTCTAAATGCACATCAGGACTTCCTCATGGTCAACTGTGTGATGTGTGTATAAGGTCTGATAATGCTGAGCTGCCTTCATGCAGTTCTCCCCTCTTTTGGTTTCTGGAACATTCCTGCCCTTGTTTCTTCTCCAACTTTTCTGATGCCACCTTCTCCATGTCCTGCACCAGCTCCTCTGTTTGTCCAGCCCCTTCAATGTTCTTCTGCCCTTCTAACTGACCAGCTGCTCCTCACCAGCATTTTCCCTATGGCTCCAGTTGCCCATCTACCATGCATATTTCAGTGACTCCCAAATTTTAATCTTTCTGCCTCCAAGACTGTCATAGGTTCAATCCCCTAGTGACTTTGGGCAAGTTTCTTGACTATCGTGAGATTCCTCTGATAATGTTTCCCATTTCTGTGCATGGCAGAGGAGAAGGTTACAGTAACTATATCAATTTCCATTTATTTCTCTAGGATGGGACCATTCTAGTTTGCCCCAAAGGCACTTGGTAACACCTGATTTGATGGATGCATCCAACATATGAATATGATATATTTCCTTGGTTATATTTTTGATTGTGGGCTTCTCTCTCCATTTGAAGCCGTGCTAAGTATAGCGACATTTTTTTTTTTTTTTTGAGGGAGGGTGGGGAGGAAAGGGCAGAGGGAGAGGGAGAGAGAGAGAGAGAGAATCTGAAGCAGGCTCCATGCCCAGGGCGGAGCCGACGTGGGGCTCAATCTCATGACCCTGAGATCATGACCTGAGCTGAAGTCGAGAGTCAGACCCTTAACTGACTGAGCACTGAGGTGCCCCTAAGTAACAGTTTTTATCGAGGACTACGTTATACATCAAACATTTGTTTCTATAGATGGAATTTTTTGAATTATCCACATTTGGAAAATAACTGTTTTTGCGTTTACCATTCTATTCCTTTACATTAATAAAAATGTAGTATGATACTAAGATATAACCTGAAGAATTTTAGCATGAGAAATGAGCTTGATAACCAGGGTATAAATAGAAGATGTGTTTAGCATTTAATTCAACACACATTTATTAAATATTTATGAAACATCACCATTTGAATGTAAGTCTTGCTGGCCTCAAATTTTTCATGAGAAGGAGGCAAATATGTGAATAAATAATTACAGTCAGATGTGTTAATTTCTATGTTAAATATTAGTAAAATGGGCTATAGTAACCCAAAGGAGAAGACAGCCAATTGGTCCAGAGAAGTTATGAGGATTTTCAAAAAGGAAGTAGAATTGGATCTTTTGGAGACCTTTCCAGGAGTGAAAAGGGGAGAGAAATCCAGATTTTGGAGAAGAGCATATGCAAAGCTGTTAATCCCAAAAGGGCACTGCAGGTTTGGGAAAAGTGATAAATTCTGTAGGTTTGCTCCATGTTCTTGGGGGGAGGGGCAGGTGAAAGCAATAGTGGAGGCCTAACCTGTGGCCCACACCCTCTATCTTCCTATCTTTAAGTTTATTCCCCCTACAGGTGGCCTTCTGGGAAGATGTGTGAATCCTTGAGCCTAGGGTTGAACACTCTGCTGCCCATCTGCCCTAAAGACAAACTTCCTTACCCTGGCCTTGGAAGAGGATATAGGACCCTCAATGCAGGAAATTCCAGGGTTCCAGGTCTTGAAGGATGAAGGCATAAGGCCCTGGGGAAGAACATTCCTTTCGTCCTAGGGAAGAGAGCCAATGCAGGGCTTTCTATAGCTATGTTTGGGGCAGAGGCCCCATTGCCATGTCTGAGGATGGAGCCCAAGGTCCTTATGGCTCATAAATAGGTTGCTTGGAGGTGGTTGGATATGGAAGATGGAGCCGAGCTTAGGGATTAGAAGGAGATTGTGATTTAAAAATATAATGGTCACTGTCTCTGACTATAATTAGTGTAATCTAATTTTACTGTGTAGGATCAAAAAGTTAAACCAGAAGAATTATACTTCTCAGTTTATAATGTGGTTGTGAATGAATTATTGATTAGCCATGTTACTCATTTTCAAAGAATTCGAATGCCAGGAACTATACTTAAGCCGAAAGTTATATTAGATGGAATTAAATCTTTTTTTTCTCTCCAAATTTGATTGTTGTTAGCATTTCTAATCTTGTGGTGATTCAAAAATATAAGCATAACCTATTAGATACTGGTAATATCAACGAATTAAAGTATGGTGATTATGTGGGGCCTTGTAACTGTGCTGTGCTTACCCTTTATTATAACTCCTATGTACTGACTTAGTCCATATATGTGATGTAAGAGTGTTTATGTTTCCTAAATATTAAACTTCGTACCCACAAGTGAGGCTCAACAAATTCCTAGCTAAAACTTTCCATCAAGGTAGAAAGTTGTAGGTGAAGAGCTATCTAGCCATAGGATAATCATATTTCAAGAGTGTTTTCTTTTAAATAGGCCAGTCAGAGAAAGAAAAATACCATATTATTGCATTCATGTGTGGAATTTAAGAAACAAACCAGTAAAGGGAAAAAAAAAAGAGAGAGACAAACCAAGAAACAGACTCTGACAGTCACCAGAGGGGAGGTGGGTTGGGGGACGGGTGAGATAGGTGATGGGGATTAAGGAGGTCACCTGTTGTGATGAGCACCACATTAATACCTGAAACTAATATAACACTGTATATATATCAATGTACTCTTCATCATAGAACATGACTCAAATTTACGATAAACCAATGTGTTTGCTAAGAAATCCTGCGGCAGCTAATGACACCATCAGGAAATAAAATGGAAAAAAAAAAAAAGGATGAAGAGAAATGGGTCAAGCAGGGACCAAGGAAAAAAGAAGAGAGAACAAAAAGGGATAAGAAGTTGTCTGCACTGGATAGTGTTGGGTGCTAAGGTGAGAAGGGGTCCAGTTGTCCCTTAAAGAACAGTCACATTATTATTATTATTATTATTAAAGATTTTATTTATTT